TTGTTTAGGATAAATTTATATGTACATAATTATTGTACATAAAGGATTACATAGGTCAATGTGGAAGAAATCCAATTTATATGTACATAATTATTGTACATAATGGATTACATAGGTCAATGTGGAAGAAATCCGGTCGTGGGTGTGAAATATGGGAAAGTCAAAAATTGTAGACTATCGATGGATGCGCGCCACATATTAATTATGTAATGTATTATGTAAATAATTATGTACTTTTAGCATGGTCCGTTTGTTTATATACAATCAATGAAGACATTCCCGACATATGTTGCAACATCTTCAATATCACACTCTTACTTTGTTTTTCATTTAGCAAGTCATCAAATTTGTTGCTTTTTGATCTCCAGCTTCAACAGGAACTTAGGCTACAGAATTCTTGTATGCATTCAATAATATTTATGTCGTGTTACCCTATTTCAAATAGTCATAATGCCCGTAGTGTTACCCTAAGATATATTTATTCGGTATAGATCTACTTGTTCTGTACATCAAAACGAATGCATTCATTGCACCTCGTCTTATGAAACCAAAATTTTGAATTTTAAGAGAACTAAACAAGATGGTGGAAACAATTACATGTACACGACTAGAGTATACAAGTACAAATTTTATGGTAATTAGGCTATTCCTCTTTGGTTGAGGGGTGAGATGGAGGAAAGATATTTTTTCCCATTGGGTTCCCTGCATGACGGTGCTACCATCGAAGGCACCGATTTTGGATTGAAAATCAATGAATCGTTGCTTGGATAGAGATTTCGTGAGAACTTCAGAAAATTGACATTGAGTTGAGAAATGAGATACTCCGAACAAAATGGTCGTGAATAGGAAAGTGTTCGATTCAAGAATGGAAGATTGCATCGGCCCGGAGATAAGTTGCGCCCAGATTATCACAAAGAAGATGCAGTGTAGTAAGAAGAGAAACTCCAAATTAAATTCTGAAACCTGGCTAATCCTGTCCCAGTTGAGGAAACAACTCGATAGTCGGCCTCGGTAGGACGAACTACCGGATTACCTCCAAGATATAGACCAAGGCAGAAGTGGAAGCGCAATCGTCACGATTACCTTCCGAGTCGATATCAGAATAAGTAACAATATCCATTTAGAGTTACAGTTCAATGAAGTTGAGCCGGAGCATGCATGTGTTGAGCAAATTTAGCAATAGAGAATGCAAGATCAGGTCTCTCATATATAAAATTAAAGTGAACCAAGATCACGGCCAGGTCCAACATTAAATCTCAATCCAGGCCCAACTGAAACTATGAAATGATCAAGAGCTCATTACAAGTTATACAAAATGGCTCTAAAAAAGAAGTGGAAAGAGACTTTAGCACCAATTGATATTAGTACTCTATACCACTATTTTCTAGAAATTGTTAGGGTGAGTAAGAGTGAAAAAAAATCATATCTCAACGTATATGACGAGGATCGAGTTGGACAAATCTAGCTGTAATTTCCTCTATAATTAAAGTGAACCAAGATCACGGCCAGGTCCAACATTAAATCTCAATCCAGGCCCAACTTAAACTATGAAATGATCAGGAGCTCATTACAAGTTATACAAATGGCTCTAAAAAAAAGGAGAGGAAAGAGACTTTAACACCAATTGATATTATTACTCTATAACACTATTTTCTAGAATTTGTAGGGAAGAGTGAAAAAAATTATATCTCAACGTATATGACGAGGATCGAGTTGGACAACGTTTGGAAGTTCAAGGCTTTCCTTTGAAGTTCTTTTTTGTCCATTTTGACTTAATCAAACGGTCTTGATTGAAAACAAGTAGAAAAACTCATCAAACACTCAATTTACTTGCTCGTTGTCAAAACAATCACCCCTATTACATGTTAAATGAAACCAAAAAATACGAAATGGGTAGAAAAATTGTGATAAATAAAGTATCCTCACACTCATTCGGGAACTTAAATTCGCCTCACTAACTACATATGTCAATCTATATAATGTAATTGTAAATAATATGGATGGAGAATATATATATATTTTACACAATTGATCTCTCGATAGATACAAAACTAATTTGCAGATAATCGATTTTGACACGAATAACATAACTCATTACATAAATTACATATACTATTTGTCTTTGTGAATTGCAATATATTAATTTTTCAACAGTTCTCTTACCATTTTTATTAACTTTTACAAAACTCAATGATTTTCTTGTCAAATTCATATTCCCAACAAGTCTCGTGCTTATATCAACATTATAACAATAAATTTAAGGACAAGGGATATCCTAATTTCTACTTAATATCTTATAGATCAGTCCATTTTAGCCCATGACCTATCTAGCGTATGACTAAACTCACACGTGCGCATATTGACGTAGATGTATGTATATATAAGGTTCTAAAATGCATTATGTGTGACAATACATTACTGTCAAGTATCAAGCATTACAAACATATGTGTGCCTATATAAAGTATTTTCGTAATTATGCATTTTTCAATTTTTAATCTTATTTTAAATATTTTAAACTAACAAATAAATAAAATAATGTATTTATACATATTCTTCAAATTTAAAGAAAAAAACACTTATTGCTCAAATTCATAAATACTACAATTACTTGAACTTTATACATATTCTTCCATTTTTCAATAAAAAAACATAATATTACTCAAAATCATAAATAATATAATTATTTGGTAATTAATTTGTACAATTAGATTAGACACGAACACCAACTTAAAAAAACTCTGAATCTTGTCCACCTCTTTATCGATTCCTATCCAATCTCATCTTCTTCATCCAATTCATCTTTCGTGTTATCCGATGCAAAATCATCTTCATCGAGCTTTCTTATTTCAACTCGAGAATTTTTACTATCTCTTATAGATGATAAGATATTATTGTCAACCTCCTCTTCATCATCGCTATCATCAACAATTCAAAATTGTGCATTACTAGCTTCACGTGCTAGTAAAACTAAAGGAAGAAGGAGACTTGGACTTGACGTAGATAGTTTGTAATTCTACGAATTTTTTTATTTTTGATTTTTTAAAACGTCAAAACACTATAGATTACTGTATATAATTCATGGGTTTGGGTGATTTGGGCTAATTTGATTTTTGTTGGACTCAATTTGTTTTTTTTTTTTTTAAGTTATAAAAATGGATTGGGCTTTCCTAAGCAAATTTTGACACAATTTGCGTGTGCATTTTGACGTTTAAACATGCATATGTGGTCAACAAAATACATTGACTGCATTATCATGTGCATACCACATATGTGAGACGTTTTGAAAAAGCCTCAAAGATATACGAGTATATGCGAAACATATGTGCGCATTTTAGAACAGTGCATACATATATACGTACTTCAGGTGTGTGTGTGGGTGAAGGGCTATGAATATACACATACGTATAGTTATAAACTTTGTTGGATCATTGTTAATAGGGAGTAATAAATCAAAGAAATATCTTTTCTGCATCCTCTTCATGCTACGTGTCACTTTACGTCTAGTTATAAACTTTGTTGATGAAATATTGATTTTACCGTGCCATAATTTATATTCAAATTAATCCTTTTACAATTATTAAACTATTGGACAGAATTCTGACTTACAAAATGAACGGAATAAAACAGAATGATAATGGTCGAGACAAGAATTCGATTTTCTCCTTAAAACGATAATGTCCCGCACTGATGCTGACGATCTTCCGACACTTGTCTCCCAAAATATAACGACCTCAACTTGAAATAGTAGCACTTCAACTAATTAAACCAAATTTCCAACAGTCCCAATGGTAGAGGTTCTTGTCTAAAGGCAGATTAATAACTTGCATAGTAATTGTCGAATCTCATGTTACTCATATCTTCTAAAAACGAAAATGTTGCGCATCACTACTAAATTACTCATCACTGTCTTGCTAGTTTCTTTTCCAATGTTCAAAGGACTAGTAACCACATGCTCGTTATTGTCGTCCGATGACGCCGAACTTTTTAGGACATTGTAGAAAAAAAATGCATGTAAAGATAAAAAAGAAACAATAATTATATTCACACTACTATTTTTGAATCTTGTACCACATTTTAATTGCACTTAAAGTTCTTAATGTTTACTCATTATAACACTTATGTCCCTAACAATTTTTCATGTCATTATTATTCTCAAACTTTCCATTAGTTAAATACATTTTGTATTCGATAACAGTTTGATGTTCAAAAGTTTGTTGAAAAAGTGTAAAACAACTTATTTTCCACACATTTTTAAAAAAAATAATAAATAAAAAATGCATAAAAAATATTTTTTTCCTCATTTCAAAGCATAAAAATAAAAAAATTTTGATATAAATTTCAAATATTTGTGCTATTGAAATTAGTTATTAAGGTTTTTGATACTTTACCTCTTCTTGGTTCGACTTATGTAGATTATGCAATACTTTTATTTTGCAGTTAAGTTCTAGATGATTAATGACCCTAGCTGAACCAACCGAGCAATGTGTTTTTCATTTTGATTCTAACTACGTGGCTGTTTATTTTGACTCAAATTATTCCAAAGCGAATCAATAGCCATACAAAATTTTAATATTAATATACTCTTTGAAAAAGAAAGAAATATTCTATTAAATTAGTTAAGCGACACTTCTCATTTTTTCAAACCAACATTTTCCATGATGTTTTACATGATTGCATGCAGGCCGTTGGATGTTACACAGCCCCACAACCCCACCACACATGAAATGCATCTTTAGTCCCCTAGCGTCGACTTGTCTATTGAATTCTCCACAATAAGCAGAATGTAAACACCTGTCGACTTGCTATTGAATTCTCCGTACAACACATGTCAACATAACTTTTTAACCCCACGTTTCATCATTTTTTTTTTATGAGAATCTCTTAAAATTTTGAATTCTATCACGTGGCAAATACACGTGCTTATACTTTTTTTCATTATAAAAGGCCACATTTAGGTTCTCAGTTACTAAATCTCCCTTATTGAAATTCAATACAAGTTATGAGGTTCTCAATTACTAAATCTGCAAGGCCCTGCACAGGCTACACTTCCAATATTGCCACTCAAATAGTGACATGTAGCATTACTCAGTATAAGAAAAAAAGTCTCAACAAAAAAATTCAGTCTCCCAAAACCTTGGAAAACCTATTCATTGACTCCCATATTAGGAGAAACACAACCTCAGCACCAGTGAACTTGAGCAAGAAATGGATGGATTATCAAGGTATCAAGAATTGGGAAGGGTTGCTCGAGCCACTTGATTATAATTTACGTGGTGAGATCATTCGATATGGCCAATTCGTTGAAGCTACTTATAGGTCATGTGATTTTGACCCTTCGTCTTCATCATACGTCACATGTCGTTACTCCAAGAGAAAGTTACTCCACGAATCAGGTTTCCCTGACACCGGGTATCGGGTTACTAAGAATTTGAGTGCCACGTCTATGATTCACTTGCCCCGATGGATTGACAAGGGACCACGGTGGATGGCCATTAAGTCGAGTTGGATTGGGTACATTGCAATGTGTCACGACAAACAAGAGATTTCGAGGCTTGGCCGGAGGGACGTCGTAATTGCGTTGCGTGGCACGGCTACATGCTTGGAGTGGCTTGAAAATCTTAGGGCCACTCTCACTCCTCTTCCCAATGCCGAATCCTCCATTGATACTCCAATGGTGGAAAGTGGATTCTTGAGCTTATACACTTCTAGCATGGGAACCCGACCAAGTTTACAAAAACTGATAAGAGAAGAGATTTCAAGAATTCTTCAAATGTATTCTAATGAGCCCTTAAGCATCACAGTCACTGGCCATTCTTTAGGTGCAGCTCTTGCAACCCTAGCAGCATATGACATTAAAGAAACCTTCAAGAATTCACCTCTAGTGACTGTCATTTCATTTGCCGGTCCACGAGTCGGAAATTGGAGCTTTCGGTGCCAATTAGATAAACAAGGCACCAAAGTCTTACGGATAGTAAACCCCGACGATCTTATAACAAAAGTACCAGGTTTTATTGTCAATAACAACGAAGAAAAGACCCGTGATTGTGACCGTTATACCAGTAATCATACGAATTGGATACAAAAACTGGTCGAGGATGGGCAATGGGCTTATGCAGATGTTGGATGCGAGCTCCGGCTAAGCAGCCGGGACTCACCCTATCTTAATGTGATTAACATGGCAACATGCCATGATCTCAAGACATATCTTCACTTAGTTAATGGATTTGATAGCTCCAATGTCCATTTAGAATCACTGCAAGAAAAATAATGAACAAGACTATTGTAAATTTCTAGCACGCTTTTGTACGCAATACTAGTACAATTAACAAGATTTTATCTACCTATTTCTTCTTGAACATAGTCGAGTTCCTAAACGCGCCATTAAACCACATGTCACAATACTAATATACGTCGTTTTTAACCTTAAACTACACGAACAACAAGTTCAGACATTTCTACAAATGTATATAAAAAACATTATCCACAAAATAAGGGGAGAAGGGTATTTTTATTCTTGTTAAGAAATGGGAAAAATCTCATTAAATTTGTATTTCTGATTGCCAGAACATGCCATGTGTGAAAAAGATATGCTTCTTGTCTAGCATTTTTAGTGTTAAAGTGCAGCAGCAAAGATGTAAATAAGGAGTACTTAAAAAATTCCTATTTTATTTAACATGAAAAATAATGGGTAAATATATTGCCGCCAATTTTTCTTGTCCCACTATTTTATAAATACACACTAATTAAAAAGTATTTTTAATAAAAATACAATCGTATTTCTCCAGAATTGCATGAATGCATGGTCATTCCAACAGCTCTTCCTTAAATGTCAAATCTTTTCATGCATACGCCATTATATGTGTAATATCACAAAGCCGGAGAATCTGAAAGTTGCATTGAACACATCCAGAATCTGAATTTTCTGCATAACTGAGAACATTATTTTCACTTCTCATGGCAACTTCTTTCTCCTTGAGATCGAGAGGGCAAATTTCTTTTCTTCTTATTCTTTCATTTCTACAAATTGATCTTTTTCTTATTTCTGCAAAAACAAAAATGGCGAAGAAACGGAGCTGACGGTTGGCCTTGGCCATGGGGAGTACTCAGAGGTTCCCAATGAAAAAAAATGTTTTTCAGTGTTCAAAACGAGAGAAGAAGAGTAGTTTTCCGTGGGTGATTTTTAGTTTGAGATTGATGGTGGGTTGGTGGTTTTTGGTCGTGGGTGTTAAGACCGCCGTGTAATTAAAAATCAAATTTTTAATAGATTCTGATAAAAATTTATGAAATGATTATTAAAAAATTGTGGGTCTCGTAAAATATTTGGTTAAAATAAATTGTTGAATTTGACTTCGATTTTTATCAATACCAAACTGGGACTAAGTGTTTGTTCAATAAATTTTTAGTTTAGCTTTTCAAATTTTAATTTTGATTACACATTTAATGGAATTTATAATATTTATTAACTTTTAATCAAATGTAAAAACAATTTTTCAAAATCATCTAAAACTTTTATCAAAAGTTTCATCAAACCCCTAAGATTTTTACTCATCTTAAAATCTCAACTTTATTAAAAGAAGTAACACGATCTCTTATATGTTGGTTAATATTTTAGTATTTAAGAGAGATCATGAGATTTATCACTTAATATATCTCGCAAGATGGTGACTCATTATCGAACGTTAGTTTTTCTATTCGTGTACTTATTTGAATCTTAAGTCGATTGAATTATCTGTTGGAGTTTAGAGTTTCATTTTAAATTATCAATTTTATTAAGCCCCAATTTGGTTTGAATTAAAATCTCAAATTAAAGTCAACAATAATTTTAACCACACATTTTATGGGACCTACAACTTTTCAACCACACATTTCATCAATTTCAATCAAAATCTACTAAAAATCTGATTTTAATCTATATCAAACAATGGCTAAAAATGGTAGTCCAATCATTTATATATTAGTAATTTATTTTACTTTATTCCATGTGAGTTTATGCCTTAACAGTTAAAATTTGTGGTGGTGAGGCTAGGGTGCTTGGTAGGATGATCTTTCTGTTTTTTTTTTTTTTTTGGTTAACGTACCATTACGAGCACCCACCCCTGCCCACCCCTAGGCCTTGGTGCAAGGAGTTAATCGCGGGATATGCCTGAATTGGTCAGGGTTTGTGTGCGTTTTCACTAGCTTTCATAGGATTCGAACCCACGCCAATATCCCCCAACAATGTAGATTTTTACTCCCACCTCCTTGCCAATCCAGCTGTGCCCCGGGGGGGCGATCTTTCTGTTATTTTTTCATCCATTTTTGTTGATCAACGCTATATATAGAAACAAAAAATAAATAAAAGGGAAAAATAAAAAATAAAAAAACCACCAAGATCATTCAAGAAAAATTAAGTGTAGACAGTCGAAGGAAAAAGAAAAAGAAGGTAATTGGTGCTATGAGACATCTGGTGCAAAAATTAAAGATACCTAGATTTAGGCATGGGCAAATCTACGGTGGGGTCAATGGGATTCGCAGTTCCCACACTAAATTTGAAATTTAAGATTTTGCAAGAAAAAAAAAATCCTTATAATTTTCAATTTCGTCCCTACAACTAAAATTTTGTGAAATATGTCCTCACAACTCTACTCGCGCTCCGCCCCTACATTTAGGTGGTTATTTATGTCATTTTATTTATATTTAGTTAAATATGTAAATATATAAAATTGTTGTGGAATAAACAAATTGTATGGTGGCCATATCACTATCCAAAAATAATAAAATATTATTATGTGAATTCGTAGAAGAGCCCTTGAATGATGAAGGAATTGAGACTACCAACCCTTGTCCTTGTTCAAGAAGATGAGTTTGAAGTTACGGCTTGCCGTCCATACCATACCATACCATACATTGAGCCTTTTAACCAAGATCTCCTAGTTCGGAATTTTAGACGCATGGTCGATAATGCAATTAAAATGATTTAGTCATTGAATGCATGTCGGGCACGTAATATCGAATACATTATGGATGATCAAAGATTTCGATCCCTACAATATGATTCATACATAGCCATGTGTATAGGCATCTCACCCCGACTATGAAATTTAATTACATAAAATTTGTTCACTCTTTAAATCTTAATATTTTAAATAATGTAGGCAGATCTTCTGCCCCTATTTGACATACATTTTTCAATAAAATAATATTTTTCATCACATTAATAATTTTTTTCTTACTTTTTAACCATATATTTCACATCATATCACTATTTAAAATACATTATTTTTTCAATAATACCATCCAACACTCCCTCAGAGTCACTCCCAAAGATATAACACGCAGGGGTCGGATAAAAATAAATAAATTACACCTAAAAAACAAAATGGGCCAGGGACTGGACTTGTCTATAGCCTGGCACAGTCCCCCTAGATCAACCTATGTCACGCGTGAATATAGTGCAAAATGTAGACATTTTGGTAATATATCAGTTTGACAACTTCAAGTCATGCCCTCGGAGCAACTACTTCCAAGAAGTTTTTGGTTATTGATTTTGAGCATTAAATTATCGTTTGAGAATGAGGGTAAGCAGATTCTGTCATAACCATGAAAACAATTGCTGCATGCGCAGTAGACACAAAGGTTTTCAATATGGGACCATTAATATTTGATAGTTGTGAACATAAAAGTAGACCCCCACCTCACTCGGTTTCGACTCGAGCAAGAGAGAATTGGCATTATTTTAGATATCTTCTGCTTTGTTTTGGACGGCACGTTAGCGTCTATACAATCAAGAACAAAAAAAAGTACTTTTGAGCTGTGCGATCGAGGTAAAAAAAAACCGCATTATTTTGCTTTCGTTGATTGATAAAATTGTAATAAATTAGAAAGTAAGATAAACACTTTGAATCGTGTAGCTCTTCCATAAACCTTTGTTTATGTCCATCATTTTTAGGAGACGAATATATTGTTGCATATATCTTCAAAATAGTGAACTGAAATTTCATGTTTCACAAGCAAACTCGTGATTTCTGACACAAACTTAACGTTTTCACATAAAATTTGATAGTTGCAAAATGTGCATTGCAAGCTCAATCTCGAAGTATGCACAACGAACCCGAAATCTACTGTGCAAACTCAAAGTTTGCACAGTAAACTCAAAATTGGCAAATCATACCTGAAATTTGAATTAAGTGAATCATTCTTATCAAAATTCGAAGCTTCCCTTTTTTTCCTCCATGCATTTCAAATATACTGTTCCTTATTATTTCATTCAATAGTATATTTCTATCTTTTATATTTACTAAAATTTAAATTATAATAATTCTTCATTACTATAGTTTATAATAAACTTTCCCTAATTTGTGGGGATTGAAAATAATCGCCGTATCCATTGACTGACCAATGTTTCTTACCAAATAGTTGAAATATACCAAAACAAGTCAAAATATTTTACATTGCACGGAATGTACCAAAATGCGCCAAATGTATAAAATGTGCAAAATCTACCAAAATATGTCAAAATGTATCTAAATGTGAGAAATGCACTAAATAGCATGAATGTAGCATGAATGTAACATACGAGCGAATATGTACCAAATGTGCAAAATGTGAGTTATAACATTGATGTTACGGTATTTTTTTATTTCTTATTTTTTGTTTTTTTTCAATCATAATTTTAAAGTTACTATTTTACCCCTATTAATTTGGTCAAAAGATATCAAATTTTGACTTTTTTGATCAATTAATGGTCAAATGTATATTAATTTAGATCTCAACTGCATATTTCTAAAAGGTGAGAGACGTTTAGCACAAATTTAATGTTAGGGTAAAGTCTACAAAAATTAAAAAGGTTAGGCCGCTTCTGCAATTTTCCTTAATGGAATCCATAGCTAACACTATGTTGGATAAGTAAATATGAAGGAATGGACAAGCGAACTCATAACCTTTTATTGAAGCCTAAAAATACACGAGGGTAGAAAGATGAAAAAGGTATTTATGAAATACAAGAGCTCGCAGCCAAGGAGGGCGAACTGTCAACATAATATTTCACGTTGACATAAACCATTATTAAAGCACACGTAGGTAAGTGTTCAAAGCATGACTTCAAACCAATGAATGGAAACGTATAAGTTGATGAATAAAACTTGAGCATATATTAGAATTAGTTAGAAATCCACTATTGAATGGCCACCATTTGTCATTCACTAAAAGACACAACTACCCCCAAAACCCCAAAAATTTACAAATAGATCCCACCTAGAATAAGAGGCATGCAAAATTTAAATATTTCTC